AGATATTGTATCATATGGGACTTCTTATGCTAGACTGTGGGGAAAAAAAGATTTGAAAACTTTTGCCAAGGAGAGCTAGACCCAGTGTGGAAGGTCATCCACACAAACACAGTTTCTTAGCTTAGGACAGAGGTCCTCAAACTAATGCCTATGGGTCAGATGCGGCCCTCCAAGGCCATTTACCTGCCTCCACCTTAAACTTTACACTTAAGGTCGCCCTAAGTCTGAAACAACTTGAAAGCACATAACAATCCTAATTAACTTGATAATTTCATCAGCCAAGAGCAGGCCTACACTTCCCATTGAAATACTGGAAAGTTTACATTGGTTAAAATTGTTCTTCATTTTAAATATTTTATTGCTCTTTCATTATTATTTTTGCACTACAAATAAGAGATGTGGAATGTTCATAGAAATTTGTCCAAGTTTTTTTTTCAATCTATAGTCTGGCCCCCCATCAGTCTGAGGGACCATGAACCGGTCCTCAGCTTAAAAAGTTTGAGGACTCCTGGTCTAGTGCATTCCTTTGAACGGCAGCATCAGAGCTCTGCAGCAGAAGATTGTAGGTCTTTCATAAAAGCTACACATCCAAGGATTCCACTGGGTGAAGCAATAGCATTTAAAGTACCTTTTCCAGGCTCAGCTGTTTTATGGGTTTACTCTGGCTTCTGGTCTTTTAAGTTTAGAAACCCCCATTGCTTCACCTGTCTTTTTTATTGATGTGAGATGTCCTGAGAAGCGAGTGATTTGTATTGAAAACAAACAAACAAAACCTCCAGACATTGAGAAGCTTTTAACAGACATTTGCTTACAGAACGTAAGGAATGCTAACAAAAACTAAAGACTATGGCTGTTGAGTGGTTATGAGATTGTAAGCCAAATTTATAGTCTTGTAACTTTTGGGATTCATGTTCATGGTGGTTAATGACTGAATATGACCCCCCAAAATTACCTTTCCGGAGAGGAAGCACATCAACTGAAGAGTTTCTGAGGATCTATTATTCTATCTCCAGAATTCTATATTATGTATCTTTAGATTTGCCTAGCTATGAGGGGTGTTCATTAAAGATTTCCCTTCTCTCTTCGAGGAGAAGTTGGGGCAATGCTGACAGGGGGTAGGGAAAAGGCAGAACTACTTAATTCCTTCTTTGCCTCGGTCTTCTCACAAAAAGAAAGTCATCTTCAACCTCAGCAAGATGGAGTGGATAAGGGATTAGAGGACATCCAACCCCAAATTGGGAAACAAGTTGTCCAGGAATACCTGGCTGCTCTAAATGAGTTCAAGTACAACGTGGCTTTCGGAGCAACCTGTCGACTTCTTCAAGCGAGGTGTTTACAGTTCCTTAAAAAGATGGGTGAAGTGTGTTTCCCTAGGTGGCACCTATGTAGAGAAGGACTAATAATTGTGCTAAGTTTCATTGCTCTTAAGTTGACAGGAAGTGGGTCAGGGGAAATCTTTAATGAACACCCCTCGTACCTGGCAGAGGTGGCAAAAAAGGAACCTTTCCTTCCACACCAAACATATTTTGAACCTTATAAGATTAATTAAATACTGGCTCGAGACAGAGATGCTTTTCCAAATAGCTCTCAAATTTCCCTCCCACTTTCTTCCCATGTGTTTCTAATTATATTAACATGTTTAACTACTGTAGGTCCTTTCAATGAAATTTAGATGCCAGTGAAGCTTTATTTTTCAAGCATATTTTGAAATAAATTGTTCTGGTCACGTAGATGTGTTATAAATTCCAGTTTTCACTTTATTTTCTTTATCCTGTGCATAAACCCTTCATTTCACCTTTCATATTTAAAAAAAGACTTCATGAAACAAGACAAAATAACTTATGATTATATGAAATGTAACTGTAACCAATCACAAAACTATACATGTTAATAGAAAAAGGCACTCTAATTCTTTTTCTTAGGCATACAGTACACAACGGATAAATGCAAAGTACAGTAAAATCAGCAAGATATACATTATAGCATAAGGAATTAAAATCTATAAAAAGAAGCATATATAAATATATACAAAAATGTAAGATTTATATAAAAACACATTTCCACATCCCCACCTCTCCCCCCAAAGTGCTTATCACGAGCAACATTACATAAAATGTTCTACTTTGTATAGAAAATGAAGACAATACTCTGTTAACATTAAAACTCATTTCTTTGATTTATCTTTTTTTAAAAAATCACAGAAAAGTGCTGGTTTTTACAAATGCTGTTATAAAATGGCACAGTCTAAACATGGGCATAAAACACAATTACTGCAGTTGGTTTAAAGGGTTTTTTTAAAAAGGATTTTTTTCTTTTTTATGATAGTGGTTTCATATAACAGCACTAACCTCACAATGTAAGTGACACTAGAAAAGCACAATCACAGATTTATGTAAATGTCTCTTCAAATACATGTGTGAATTTCTTCCTAGGACAGATATAAGTACTTTATCTGAGGGTAAGAAATGATGAGACAGACATAGCCATGGTACAGTCAGCATGAGACAAACATTTGCTTGTTGTTAAGCCACCCCCTCTGTTTTATGGCAACACACTTGAGGATGACAGAGAGAATTACGATACCACAAACATGTAGCAATTTTCTTCTTGACCTCCAGAGATATATCAAAAGCAAAGGTTCTCAACCAGAGGTCAATGGACCTGCGTGTGTGTATGTGTGTGTGTGTGTGTGTGAAATATTATTTCAGGGAGTCTATGAACTTGAATCAATTTAACATATTTACTTGAGTATAAGCTGAGTTTTAGCACATTTTTAATGCTGAAAGAGGCACCCTTGGCTTATACTCAAGTAAGAATCCTAATGGGAAGGTGTGGGGCTGAAAGAAGCCCTTTACAAGGCTTCTATAAGCTGGATACCTCCTGCCATTTTGGCACAGCAACCCAGCTGGGTCTCTGTGCTGAGAGAAGAAGAGAGGAAGGTGCGTGGCCTCTCCTCTCGGCACAGTAACCCAGTCGAAAGGGGAGAAAAGGAAGGTGCATGGCTCATCAGCCATGCACCTTCCCACTGGGCTGGGGCTGGCCTCTCCTCTTGGCACAGCTACCCAACTACCACACACCTTCCTTTCCACCTTTCTCGGGTCAGAGACCCAACTGGCTTGCTGTGCTGAAAGGAGAAACTCCATGCCTTCCTCTTCTTCCCTCTCAGCACAGCAAACCAGCTGGGTCTCTGTCCCAAGAGAGGAGGAGAGGAAGGTGTGCGGTAGCTACTGCACTTCCCACCCTAGGCTTATACTCGAGTCAATAGTTTTCCCAGGTTTTTGTGGTAAAATTAGGTGCCTCAGCTTATATTCAGGTCAGCTTATACTCAAGTATATAGGGATTAAGATTATTAATGTAATTTTGAATAATCCAAAAAAATTAATTTAAAGACATATTATGTTGAGTGTAATAAAACTATTTGCTGCCGCTACATTCTGATAAGGTATTTGTGGTTTTTACCTGACTGGCGAAAGAGTTTTTGGAACAAAAAAGGTTGGGAACCCCTGATCTACTGTGTCTAATAGCTGTGTAAAAGATAGGATTCTACAATATGCATGCAAAGGCTTTTACTCACACATAGATATATTTTTAAAGAAGTGGGGAGATTGGGTTGCAGCCTTTTCCTATTGAACTCCCCAAAACAAGCTCAATTTTGGGAAGAGTGAATAGCACAATGTACTAGGCACCAGCAGCCTGGATCCTATTGTTAATTCCCACTAGGGTAGAAATGTTGGATCAAAGGACTTATGCCCACATTGATTCACCATCAAATAAATGATCTAATGGGTCTACACTAGTTAGGACTAACAAACAGGATTCAGGCCCCTCTGTTTACTCTTCTATATATAGTCACATACACAGCCAGCCTATAAAAGTCTGTTCCTAGGCATTTTGCTCCAGGCATCTGAGGAATAGACTTGGGCCACCTACATAGGACAGGAAACTCCAGCCCCAGTGTTTTTTAGCCTCAGATTCATTATATACCTGCTGAATCCAGAATGAAACCCAGGATACTCACCAGACATCTCTGTGCATCTGGAAGACAGTAGTGACTCCAGGTCTTTTCACTGTTGCAGACAAACTTTTATTTTATAAAAGCTTATGCTACCAATTCAGTTAGTCTCCAAGGTGCTAAAAGATCCCTTTGCATACTGACAATCTGGACTAATATGCTCTGCCTTTCAATTCTACCTCCTTTAAAATAAGTAACATTATTTAGCAATTAGAAATGTAATGAAATATTGAAATGGGTTGTAGGTTTTTCGGGCTATATGGCCATGTTCTAGAAGCATTCTCTCCTGACATTTCACGTGCATCTGCGGCAGGCATCCTCAGAGGTTGTGAGGACCTCACAACCTCTGAGGATGCCTGCCGCAAATGCAGGTGAAACGTCAGGAGAGAATGCTTCTAGAACATGGCCATATAGCCTGAAAAACCTATAACAACCCAGTGATTCCGGCCATGAAAGCTTTCGACAATGTATTAAATATTGAAATATTTTATTCTGACTGCCTGTGGTGCAAGGTGAAGGGATTCATCCTGATACTACAGTGAACCCTTCTCAGATCATCCACCAATGTGTGAGTTAGTAATGTAACATGCTCTTTTCAACAAAGCCTGTAAGAATAAAGTGAAATTTTGGAATCTATTCAGTCTCAAAACCAAGTTAGAGTGAATTCCTTCAGTAAACTTTGATTTAGCAAACTCTTCAAATAGCTTACTTCAGAATACCAGTTACAGCTCTACAGAAGGAAACTAAGCACGTCTAGGTCAGGAGACCACTAACAAGAGGCCATATGGGGAATGTAGGCAGCTTCATTGGAGGAGACAGCCAGGTGTAAATATGAAGTTCAATACACATCTGATAGTGGTTCTCAACCTATGGGTCCCCAGATGTTTTGGCCTTCAACTCTCAGAAATTCTAACAGCTGGTAAACTGGCTGGGATTTCTGGGAGTTGTAGGCCAAAACATCTGGGGACCCACAGTTTGGGAAGCATCATTTCAGTTGTGGGTAATGATGTGTTCTTAATGGGAGGTGATGGTACAAAAATGAATGGACATTGTGGCTGCATGTGCTACATATATGACAATCACAGAACACATTTGCATGTATATATATCTAAGCTCCACTAAACAATGACATCATCTGAAGACTCCTAAAAGTCATCCTGTTCTAATTGATGTAATTCTCACAATTAGAAATGCTTAAGTGTAATTAACCATATTGATTTCAGTGGCAATTACACACTCATAAATTTACCAGGAATGTACCCAATATGTTTCTTTCTGAAATGTGGAACACAGGAGGAATATTAATGGGGAAAAACAGCTCCTAATTTTCCATATTTCGCCTGTTCTGTTGCTTGTGAAAAAATGCATGTGTGAAACACTTCTGGTACAAAAAAAATTACCATCTATTTGTAGGTATTATGGAGAAGTGGTGCTTCTAACTTCTTCAAAAATAATTTCTGAAATCATGGGTGTTAACGAACCAAAACATAGCAAAAATTGCAGCAGAATTATATAGGGGCCTCATATCTGCCCACAAATGTTTTCTCCTAGATTTAGTCATCAGCTATTTTTAAAAGAGCAATTAAAATCACTGAAGTACTATAGAAAAGCTAACATTGTCAACAAAATTTGTAAAAATGTAACCAAATGACTAGAACCCCATTTTGTGCAGACTGAGCCTTGTCTGTTGTTGTTGTTGTTGTTGTTGTTGTTGTGTTCCTCCAAGTCATTTCTGAGCTATGGTGACCCTAACATAGGGCTTTCTTTGTAAGATTGATCAAAAGAATATGCCATGGTGTTCCTTCAAGGTCAAGAAGGTGTGACTTGCCCATTGGTTGTTATGGTCGAGCAAGGATTCAAACCCTTGTCTACAGAGTCAGTTCAATGCTCAAACCACCACATCATGTTGGGTCCTCACCCTAACTATCTATTGGATTATTAAGGAACTAAGTTTGGTGATATTTGTTAGGAAAGTGGAGGCTGGTGTGAAACACCTACTCAGAATGGGTGTGCTTTTAAAAATAAATTAATATATATGGAAACTAAATATTAATTAATTAAATTATAAAGCATTATTCATACCCAGCAGAATGAATTCACTTTGACAAAATGTTAAGAAGCCACAAACACTCATATCTTACAGCTAATGCAGTTAATACTGTGTTGCTAAGAGTATTAAAGGAGTATTAACAAATCCAGAAGCAACAATACCTATATTTTAGAAAAAGACATTGCAGCAGTACTATTACCACTACCTACTGGTCCCACAGAAAGTCTGAAAAACACACGATTTTCCCTTTTTGCCCTCTTACATGTGGGATTACTTAAATTCCAGAGCACCTTAAGACTGGCTCATTATGTAAGGAGCTCTCTTTTTTTTACAGGAGGTTTACAATTTATAGTTGTGGTTCATTTTCATATCGTACTTACAACAGATTTTTAAAATATCATTTTCTAAAAACCAGATAATTCATTTTAAAATGTATCAAGCAGTCGTTTTCTTTTCCGTTCCCTTTGGAAAGAGGTTTTGCCACAGAAAAGGCTGAACTGAATAAACGACTGCTCACACTTTGGTAAATACCTTTGAACCAACATCTTCTCACAACTCCAGATATTAGCTGCAACTGTGAAGCTGAGTCTTTCTGATGATGATAGTGGTGGGTTTTCCTCCATTTTTAAAAAAGTCATACCTTTAGTACTTGTTTCCTGACCAAGAAAAAAAATGATCTATAATACAGTGGTTCTCATGGGAGTTAAATGTAGAATTTTTACTTGTGTTTCCTCAGCCTTCAGTATAAACAGAAGAAAGTTGACTAGGGCAGCGATCTACAGCATTTATCTGAAGGAAACTGGTGTCCTCAGCCCCATTGCATAAGGGATCACCAAAGATACCCGTGGAGCCAGATGGAAGATCATACACTGAAAGAAAGAAAAAACCAAGTCAGTTAGGATATCAGTTACAGCTGTGGTGGGAAACTGGCAGATCCAGGGGCTAACTTTCTCCTGGTAGCCTCCAAGGAACAAAGGACCAAGGACTCCATCCCTTGCCCCATTAAAAACTTAAACATGACTGAAAATCCAGGTTTTGAAAAATCAAACACTACTGGGTTGGTGATTGTTAATTTTCATTAGTGTTGTCAAAGGCTTTCATGGCTGGAATCACTGGACTGCTGTGAGTCTTCTGGGCTGTATGGCCATTCTCTCCTGATGTTTCAGCCACATCTATGACAGGCAGGATGCAAAACTTCAGGAGAGAATGCTTTTGGAACATAGACTTAAAGCCCGGAAAACTCACAGCAACAAGACTGTGAACGAAAGATGCCGAAGACACTTTGGGCCCTTCTACACTGCACATAAAATGCAGAAGTTACTGGGTTAAAGGGGAGAGGTGGCTACATGATGCTAGTGGTAAATCTGCACTGATTCACTGCAATGGATGAAAAACACATGTTTAAAAGGTCCCTTTCATCCTGATTCCAGGCGGAAAATGCACATATTCACATCACTGTATTATTCCTGCACTCAAGGAAAACACATGATTTCTTTCCCTCCCTCCCCCTTCCTTGGAGACTTCTCCAGCACATGTCTGCTTTCAAAAGGCCCAAAAAAGCTGATCAGCTGATTGGGCTGTGAAGTGATACCCAGCTACTTTAAAGGAAGCATGAACGGAGGACAATTAGAACTCTCTGAAATTCTCTATTTTAATTTTTATAATAGTAAACAGAACTTGAATAAATAATTGTGGGAAGAGAGAAATCTGGCATTTTTTTCAATACAAAATTTGCTCTGTTATACCTTGAGCCTCATATGCGCACATGCGAATCTGCTTATATTTATATTAAGATATTTGCATGCGTGCATATACAGTCCAGTGCATAACGGAGTGATTTATTTTTTTTAAAAAACTTCTGCTGGATATCCTCCATCCACCATCTTGGTCTGATACAGAGGAAGCCTGTGAGGATGGCAGGGGAAGAAATCCTGGGACTGACAGGTATATGTGGAGACTTGCAGTCAGATCCCGGCATTTTTTTTGTTTTTAATTGAAAAGTTTTATTTTACATACACATACATATAAAATCCGAAACCAGTACAGAAACAGATACATACACCCACATACATCTACATATAAACGAACATATCAGGTACAAGAGGGTAGATATAGGTAAAGAGGGGAGGGGAAACGGAGGGTACGGGGCAGGATAAAACGAAAAAGGTAGGGAGTGCTGATACTTCCAGGTACATCCAGGAAGGTTCAAATCTTTTAACTTCTACATACATTGCTTAAGGTCCTTAATACATTATATTCCTTCATTTCACTATTTTTATTTGATAATCTTCTTTAGCGTATGTTTTATCTGCTTGCTCCGGGGATTTGCCCCCTTCTTTATTTGATTAATCCTAGGATTTTTTTTCCTTCCTTATTATTGTGAGATATATATATATATATATATATATATATATATATATATATATATAAGTCCATTATACATATCTCTTTGTTTCTTTCCCTTATAAATTCTATTACTGAGTTCCATTCTGTTCTTTGAGGTTTCGAGTAGTTTTGAGATATTCTTTGTGTCAGAATGTCCATGCCTATTACGTCTATTATTTTACTACACCAATGCTCAGTTGTTGGAATCTCTTCGGTTTTCCATCTCTTTGCTACAACCATCCTAGCTGCTGCAGTTAGATAAAAAAAAAATCCTATCTTCATTCTTTTCCAAGCTCAGATTATGTAGGCCCAATAGTAGAGTTTCTGGTTTACTGTCAAATTTTGTTTTCAATATTCCTTCCATCAGTTTGTGAATTTGTGACCAATATTTTTTAATTTTTCTGCAATTCCACCACATGTGTAGGAGATTGCCTTTCACTTTTCCACACTTCCAGCACCGATCTTTCTTTTTATCCTTGTTAATTTTTGCCAATATCTCGGGAGTTATATACCACCTATAGAAGATCTTATACCAACTCTCTTTGAGTTCTGTGGCATACGTATATTTAATTTTCTTTTTCCAGATTCTTTCCCAGTCTGACAGGGGTATGGAATGACCTATGTCTTGTGACCAGCTTATCATGTTGGTTTTTGCTTGCTCCTTCTCTGTGGCCCATATTAAGAGTTGGTTGTATATTTTTCTTATTATTTTTGTTTCTGTTGTTAATATTTTGTCCCAAAAGGATTTCCCAATTTCGAAACCTAGTATTTTATCTGCCTTAAAGTTTTCCTTTATTTGATGGTAATGAAACCATGAGATGGTAGCGTCTAGCTGTGCTAATTCTTCCCTTGATTTTAGTGAAATTTCTTGTCCCTTAATCTTTATAAGGGACAAGATTAAGAGATCCCGGCATTTTTAAACTCCCATTTAAAATCCAGAGTTTTCTGCTGTCTGGAAGCACCCTTTGTCATCAGCAACCCTGCTCAGATTCTGACATATGGCTTTCTTGACTAAATCAATCCATCGATAAAGCCTTCCCCTTTCCTTACTCCCATCTACGTCTAATGAAATATCATGATTTGGCCAAAGTATAATACCTTCAATTTAGTCATTTTGGCTTATAGGGAGTCCAGGCATTTGCTAGGTATTCAAAAGGTAAGCTGTCGTGCATGTAAATCTCCCAGAGAGACCATGTGCCAGGCATCCTCAAACTTTGGCACTCCAGCTGTTTGGGTCTCCAACTCTCAGAATTCTTGACCATTGAACAAGCTAGCGAGGGCTTCTGGGAGTTGGAGGCCCAAATAACTGGAGGGCCGCAGTTTGAGAATGCCTGTCATATACTATTCTGGGGGGGGGGGGGAGGCAACGTAGGGAAATAGAAGGCTTTGATGGCTGCAAAAACAGTTTGGGAGGAACATTTGTACTCCCATTTTCATGCCTTCCCTATCCTGAGGATAAGAATGAGCTTGAACTGTTGTGCACGTGTACTACACATGAATTGTTTACTATTGCAGGTTCACTGGCTGTTGGTTTGATGGTTGCTTTTATATACAATGTTGTTGTTTTATTCTGTTTTATGTTGCTGTATTTTATATCCACATGTGTATTTTTAACCATGTTTGTTTTGGGCTCATGCCTAAGCCGCCCCAAGTCCCTTCAGGGAGATGGAGGCGGGGTATAAAAATAAAGCTGTTGTTGTTACTACACAGAGGAAATCTGAGATCATCTGTAATTTTCATAGATACGTAAGATTCCTCATGCATATTTGGAGAGAAAATCTCTCCCCCCCCCCCTTAAGACTAAAGGTGTGTCCATAGAGGAAAACATACATCTATCTGAAGCACTGCAGAGGAAAAAGCAGCAGTCATTTGTGCGCATGTATGGTTGCATGTGCCATTTGGAGCAAAGAAGAGGTGAAACTAAATACATTTTCATCAGGGGAAAACAACTGAAAATCTACCCATAGAAGTTTCAAAGACGTATCTACAAAGCTTATGCCTGCCAACTGAGATGCTTTGGAGAGCCTTTCAAAAATTCCCCACAGCCCAGTTCTTAAGTAGTTTCCCCCAAAGAAAGCCACACAAATATTTTGTTGCCTAAGAAGATAGGGCTAAAAATATTAACCATGAAATGGCTCTTTAAGTAGCAGGCACACTATAAGCATTTACCTGCAATACCAGAATGTGCTGAAAATGCTCTGTGGAAAACATCAAGACCTGCCTGCCCCACAGATGTGGGTACAAGACAGTCTTCAAAAGGAGGGACCATATTACAAGTTCCAACATGTTGAATATTTCTTTGATTGTCAGTATAATTCGGAGAACAGAAAGTTTGTAGTTGGCCATAAACACCTAAAAGGGAGAGAAAACAAGAAGATATCAATTACTGTATGTACTCATGTATAAATCTAGAATTTTAGAGAAGAAACTAACCCCCCAAAAACCTATGTGGACTTATGCGCACGTCAATAGAAGTACTGTACTGTAACTTATAAAAAAGGAACCATAGAATCAGAGTTGGAAGAGACCACATGGGCCATCTAGTCCAACCCCTTGCCATGTAGGAAAAGTACAATCAAAACACCCCTAACAGACAGCTATCCAGCTTCCACCACACTCCAAGCCAGGGAATTCTACTGTTGAACAGCTCTTCTTAGGGTCAGGAAGTTCTACCTAATGTTCAGGTGGAATTCCCTTTCTTGTAATTTGAAGCCATTGTTCCAAGTCTTAGTCTCCAGGGCAGCAGATAACAAGCCTGTTCCCTCTTCCTTATGACATCATTTCACATATTTAGGCATGGTCATCATGTCTCCTCTCAACTTTCTCTTCTGCAAACAAAACATGCCCAGCTCTTTAAGATGCTTCTCATAGGACACACGCTGTCCAGACCTTTGCTTGTTTAATCACCCTCCTCTGGACTCCTTCCAGCTCTGGACACACATCAGCAATACCTTTCTTTAATTGTAGTGTCCCGAACTGGACAGAGTATTCCAGATGAGGTCTGACCAAAGCAGAACAGAGAGGCACCACTGCCATCTGTAAGAAGAGGCAGTTGGCTACCTGACGTGGTGCTGGTACTTTCTTGTCTCTGAAAAAAGGCCCTCAACTGACATGTGGGTCAAACCCATAACCTCAAAACCTGCCTCAACTTGTACATGAATTCAAGTTATACATGAGTGTATACCATATGTACCTCACTGGCATGTGTCCTGCCTTGACACTAAATTTGTTATAAAGTTATCTTTGACTATACATTTTCCCAGTAAAGTTTTAGCAATATGTTCTCGGCTATTTTAAAACATCGCTAAATCTAAACTCAGATGCTACCATAGTAATTATCCTGACATTTTCATAAGAATCAACTCTAAAAAAATACTAATATTTGCTAATTTGACCCTCTTTAACCTTCAGAAAGTAAATATTTTTCTTTGAAGATGGTAAATATGGAAAGGATAAAAGAGGAATTAAGAGGAAGAGACTTAGATTGGTACAAGTATCTACAATTGGGTAAATGGTCAAGTGACATAAGGAAAAACTATAATGGAGGTAGGGAATATACAAAAATAGAAAAGATGGTAACTCAAAGGAAGACTAAAGAAGAGACTGTAACATTAAAATGCACAGTAAGTGATATCTATAAATTATTATTAATGGACGAACAAGAAGTTTATTTGAAGGAAGTATGGGAAGTAGATTTGGGGGGAAAAGTGAATAATCAAGAATGGGCAAGCATATGGAGTATGAGATTACTAAAAATATGTCTATAAAAACCAAGGAAAATTACTATAAAATTGTATGGAAGTGGTATCTAACTCCCATTAGATTAAATCAGATTAATAAAAAAGTACTCAAATCAGTGTTGGAGAGGCTGTCAGGACATACCTTCATAGGTGGTGGTCATGTAAAACTATACAAAAATTTTGGGAAAGTATATTTAAAGAAATAAGAGCAATAATAAAAATAGAGATTGAGATTACACCAAAATTAGCATTATTACTTGTATATGACAATATAATTCCCTTACAAGAGGAGAATTGGTTTCTAATTTGATAACAGCAGCTAAATTGGCAATAGCAAAAAATTGGGGGGGGGGGGAGGAAATTCAATCAGAAGAATGGTACAGGGAAATTTGGAATATAGCTATTGATGATAAGCTAACTTGCAATATGAAAATTAAAAGGGGAATATAGAAACAGACAGACTTTTGGAAAATATGGGGAAAATTTATCRAGTATGTCTTTAGTGAGGGAAAAGGGTATAAGCCAGCAACAGAAACAATGACATTTTGGAATTGTGAAACAACATGAGTTGGTTGGTACTGGTGAAGGGGGCACAAACTAAGGGTAAAGGAAAGGGGGGGGGGAATGGTATAATAWTAATTATAAAGAAATAAAACATGTATAAGTGGATAAAAGATGTATGATAGAGTTATATGTAGTATAAGATGTAATGGAAATTTAAAAATAATAAGAAACATGCTTGAAGATGTTTTTGATATTTCTTTTCTTTTCTTGTTAGATTGTATATAATATGACATACTGTTTTGTTTAAGATATGGTAAGATATGGTAAAAAAAGGGAAGAATGTATGATTACACGTGTTGTTTGACAAATTTATAAATAAAATCTATAAAAAAGTAAGTATTTTTCTTTGATTACTCTTTGCCCAAGTACAAGTGTAAACCTTTAATACTACCCATTAGAATAAAAATGGACGTATATGTACACAGGGACAAAGGATGCTGATGGGAGCTAAAAACCATTGCTATTCTCCCTAGCCCTGGGCAGTTTAACTGAAAGCTAGAATCCCTTGAATTTTCTGAATTCTAGCACTGTTTTGTGAAATAATGATATTCCATCACGTTTTGGATCTTGGATACCGAGCCAAAAAAGCAATCAACTAAATATTAGCTATTGATAACACAAACAAACCTCCTACTCCTTTTCCTTAAAGAAACATTTCAGGAAGATAGAGCCATTCTTAAAGTTTAAATATATGAAGCAAAGCATCTAGCCCTCATTGTATGTGGGGAAAATGGAGGCCAAGATCTTGCATCAGAAACGATAATTTATATCTGTATGATGATGAATTTATGTCGAAATAATACACAACCCATCTAGTGAATTGTGATAATGCATATCTGGTGATCCTAAATGCTGTCCCATTACACAATGAGAAGCCCCATTGCATTACAGGACATTTGGTGCTATGGTGGCTCTGCTGACATAATGGTCTCCAAAATATCTCTGCTCGCCTTCCAAGAATACAAATATTGCATAACACAACAATTCAATTTCACAATTATAATGTAACTACCTAGAAGATCGTTAGCAACAATTATGATCACCGATAGTTCACATCTGCAAAATTAAGTAAAGTCTCCTGCCATGACCCCCTGCTAACATTAAGAGTCAGCATCTAGATCAGGTGAAGGAAATCCATTCAGTTTCTAATCAGGGAGGGCAGTGCTTCCAGCCAGAGAGCAAGACTGTGACAAGGGATTGTGATTAAGGTCCTGCTTCTAACTATTACAGTTTTGCTTGCTGGAAACTTCATTTAGAAATGTCATACCCCTTCTGCTCCAATTGGAAGCAGAGGTCCTCTGTTGCCCAGTCCAGTTGTTGGTTCTTAAGATGGGATGGGTGGAACTTACATAGACTTAACAGAACAGTTATAAATCTGTAACACTTCAATACTGAATACTAACCATTATTTATAACTCTGATATCTATGGAAAGAAAAAAGTCTAGAACAGTAGAGTCTCGCTTATGCAACATAAACAGGCTGGCACACTTTTGGATAAGTGAAAATGTTGGATAATGAGGAGGGATTAAGGAAATGCCTATTAAACGTCAAATTACATTATAATTTTACAAATTTAGCACCAAAACATCATGTTTTACAACAAATCGACAGAAAAAGCAGTTCAGTACATGGTAAAGTTGTGTAATAATTACTGTATTTACAAATTTAGCACCAAAACATTGCCATGTAAACAGCTGTGGATCCAGGTGGGAGGCAGACTGCGTTGGAAAATATAGAAAGTTGGATGAATGGAGGTTGGATAAGCAAGACTCTACTGTACTTAAAAAAACAAAAACACTTCCTTTAGAGTATTACCTTCATAATTTGCATTCTTATTTCTTGGGAGATTACTTATTCCATTATTTTTTAAAGAAACCTTTCTCCACTACTACCCTCCCTTTCACATTTGGCAATCTTGTGTCAATCAGCATTATCTCAAGTGTGTTTGGGATCCAGAAGAGGGTATTGTAAAAGGCCTAAACCAGGAATGAGTGTGGAACAATGTGAAAGAACATTTTTAGCCTGGCTTTTCCTGAGCTTTGCCAGCTGGCTTCAAGTACTAGGGTTAGAAATAGCTGTTTCTGGTAACTGCTGTGTGACTCAGCTGTAAATTCACACAGAATGGCCACTGCTGGTTGGGATTGCAGCTATTTTAAAGAATGCTTTTCAAGTAAGCACAAAGCACCATTGAGAGTAATGTGCTAAAAACTGTTTTGGAGAGTTGTCCATTTTCCATTATTTTACTACAGCTACTTTTCTTCTTAAATGTCAGCCCGGGGGGGGGGGGGGGGGACCTGCTATAAACAACCAACATAATTTGCAATCCAGTTGATTTAGTGGAAAGATAGTTATAGCAATTTGCCCCCAAATCAGCATAACTCCAGCAACAAGTATAAGTAGTCATACTGCACTGCACTGCATTTTGGTTCGAATAAAATAACCAAGGGGTTCTACTGATCTGATATGAGAGTTACTATGTCATGAGATATACAAGTATTTTCTTATTATATTAGAGTAGCTTGATTCAAACACAAACAGAACAGAGGCAGGCAGAAAGGACTTGGTGTCAAGACTGCAGACGTGACCATTTTAAAGCGCTTTCTCCTCTGTGCAAAAGAATGCGGGGAGAAGGAGGCTGGCCAGGGAAATGAGTATTCAACAATGACTAAACCAAAACAATATTCTTGAGTCATATTTTTCATCATATTTTGCATGAGTGCAGCATGATGTCATTATGCCAGCAAGCAAACATTCCCATGGCTTATAACTGAACTGCAAACGTTAATGTAGAACAGGAATGAGAGGCTTGCCTTTGCCTTCCACTGTGGTTGAGAGAACGTGACTTGCCTAAGATTATCTCATACTTTTCCATGGCTGAACTTTGGTCTCCAGGGTTGTGGTCCAAAGCAAAAACCACTACAGCCAATTGATTTTAATATAGCCTTCAAAAATTCATGTTTTTTTGAAAAAATTCTTGCAGTAGGAAAAAAACACAGAAATTATTCAAAATTACCCCCAAGAAGAATTTTGGTGAAAAGTTACATCCC